CATGTGCAATAATTGAAGTGGTCTTGATGTAGAAACCACTTGCTTGGATTTGAAAGTTGTCTTGGTCTGTTTTCCCTTTTGACATGCATCGCATAATTTATCCTTGATGAATTTTATCTTCGGAAGCCCAACAACCAGATCATGCTTGATTAATTTGTTCAAATGCTCCATGTGAATGTGAGCAAATCTTTTATGCCACAGCCATGCCTCGTTGTTGTTTGCCATAAGACATTTTACCTTCAAAGAAGAATCATCAAAAGAAATTATAAAAATATTATTATATCTTCTACCTTTAAGCAGAATCTCATGAGTGACTTCGTGTTCGATCAAGCATTCCTCCTTTGTGAAGTTGATTTTGAACCCTTTGTCACACAATTGACTGATGCTAAGCAGGTTATGCTTAAGGCCTTCAACAAAAAGAACGTCTTCGATGATGGTACATGGAGGTGCACCAATGGTTCCAACTCCAAGAATTTTTCCTTTATTATCATCACCGTAAGTGACGTATCCTTTGGCCTTTAATGATAGACTTGAAAATTTGTTTATATCTCCCGTCATATGCTTCGAGCAACCACTATCAAGATACCATTCATTTGTGGTTGTCTTCAAGCATACCTACAAAACAAAATTAGGTAGTGTTAGGTACCCAAGTTGCTCATTTTCGTCCTCGGAATGGTGAGAGGCCATTAAGGCAATATTTGCACATTCATCACTATCTGATTCCGATGATGAACTCACTTCGTTGTCATCCCATGCGACATAAGCCTTCTTTGTTTTGAAATCCTTCTTGCCCTTGAATTTTCCTTTATTTGCGAGTTTTGGGCAGTCTGGCTTTATGTGACCTTGTCTTCCACATTCATAGCATGTAATTTCTTGGTTTGATGTGGATGCTTCCTTTTTCCTGAAATGTTTATTCTTTTTAGGAAAAGAAGAAGTTTTATTATTATTGAAAAACTTACCAAGCTTCTTTACTAGAAGCATGAAATTTTCGTCTTCGGAAGATTCGTCAATTTTGTCATCCTTTGTGTCAGTCTTCAAGGCAATTCCTTTGGACTTCTTGTCTTGACTTTCATGTTTCTCAAGCCTTCCAAGTTCCAGTTCATGCTCTTGAAGTTTCCCGAATAATGAAGCAGATGTCATTGTTGAAAGACTTTTCTTTTCCGAAATGGCAGTCACTTTTGGTTGCCATTCTCTTGTCAAGGATCTTAGGACTTTTAAGTTGAGATCATCGTTGGTGAAGGTCTTCCCAAGAGCAATCAGGTGATTTGTTAGATGAACGAACCTCTTTTGCAAGGAAACAATAGATTCACCGGGCTGCATACGGAACATCTCATATTCTTGACTTAACGTGTTAAGTCTTGATCTTTTTACTTCTGCTGTTCCTTCATGCGTTTCTACCAAGGTATCCCAAATCTGTTTTGCCGATTTACACTGTGATATGCGAAAGAATTCATCCATACTGAGAGCGCTTTGAAGTATGTTGATTGCTTTCTTCTCATTCAAGATTCTCTTCTTGTCATCTTCATCATATGAGGATTTGATCTTTGGGGTTCCAACACCATTTACCACACTTGTAGGAACATGTGGACCAGTTTCAACGGTTTCCCATATACCATCTCCTTGAGCCTCAAGATGTGCCTTCATACGGATTTTCCAAAAATCAAAGTATTCTCCAGAAAAGAGTGGTGGTTTGTTACTACTTCCACCATCTTTGAAAACCGGGTTGGTACTTGCGGAAGCCATACTGAATCGTTAGGAACAGGTTACCTTAACCTGCTCTGATGCCAATTGTAAGAACAGAGTATGCCTAAGAGGGGGGGGGGGTGAATTAGGACTTTTGAAATTTTTCCGGTTTTTATATGGTTCTTGGAAATATACTGGATGGTGTTCTTGGTTATGGAAAGCAGTAAATCAACAGAAAGAGAGAAAGACACAGGATTTATAGTGGTTCCCCTCACAATCCGAGAGTACTCCACTCCCCTTTCAACATGAAAGAGAATTTTCACTATTGTTTAAAAACAGTACAACCTATCACACCATCAACCGGTGAGGCCTACTTTTAAACAATCAATAACACAAGTGTACAAGAACAATCCTCTTGTAAACACTCACCCTTGTGTCCAACAATCCTGGATCACAAGTCAGATACACAATAATTGTAATGAATTTGGTTGAGTATAATTGTCAAAGTGATCTTCTTCAATGAATCAAAATTCACTCTTTGTAATTTCTTCAACACAAGTGTTCAATGAATGTGAAACTTTCAATGCAAGTATGAAACACTTTTTTGAAAAATGAATTTGATTCTAAGACAATTTTAAAAATGAGTATTGGTTTTTGTTGGTGTGTTTTTCAAAATGAAAAACTCAGAATTTATATGAGTAAAATAACCTTTCACAAAAGGTATGATTTTAAAAGATTCAAACCATGAAAAGGTATGATTTTAAAATAATTTTGAACTCAAAAACAAAGCAATTTTTCACTGCACGTTCAGTGTTAATCGGTTAACCCATATGGTTAATCGGTTAACACTGGTACGTTAGCCCAGAAAATTCAAAATTTAAAATGGTTAACCGGTTAACCCATATGGTTAATCGGTTAACACTGCTAATTTTCAGAAAAATGCTTTTTAAAATTAATGTTATACCATTTTTAAAGTTTCAAAAACATGTGTATGTATTATGCACAAATGATTGATGTTTTTGAACACTTGTATATCAAAATTAAAAAGGTGGATTTGATATACCAGTAATGCAGGCAAGTCTGGAAGAATCAGTTCCATATAGCTTGATGACTTTATCTTGATGACTTTGAACAACTTGTCTTTTTGCAATCAAGAGATATTAACTTTGAGTAGCATTGACATCATCAAAACTTGAGCCTGAAGTATGCTTCTACATTCGTCTCATAATACCTTATACATGCCTAGTGCAGTAGTTCAGCAAAGATATTTGTTGAGTAGCAGGAGTGCTGCTGTCCCGGAAGTATTTGATCAGTATGGACAATACCCTATGTTGTCTACTCCATTTGATCCGATTCTTAACACCAACCTTCTTCATGAATATGATAACCTTATAACTGGTTTTAATGCCACGTCAAATATCTCTTCTTCTGACCCCATATATGGGTCCATGAATTTTGAGCCCCCTTCATTCCAAAATTCACCGACTCAACAGCCTACTTGGAGTGACATGTATGTGCCACCAGTTCCCTCATTTGAGTATGTTGACACGCCAGTTCAGGCTCCTCTAATTGACTCTTGTCCTCCAGTTCCCTCATTTGAGTATGTTGACACGCCAGTTCAGGCTCATCCAATTAAGTCTTGTCCACCAGTTCCAGATTCTCCGAATTGGGGTCAAAATTTGTCTCCCAATGAAGCACACATTAATACACAATGGAATGGACTAGATTATGATCATGATGTTATAGTTGCTAACCAATTAAACTTCTTAAGACAGGTCCGCTCAGAAATTAAAAACACTCGGCATTATTATATTAACCGTGGTGCATTCAATGATAGCTTCCAGCTTATTATACTTGCAACAAAAAGATAATTTGAATCAGAAAGATTTGGCGCTGTGATTGATCCTAAATGATGATCAGTGTGTTGTTGTAACTTGTATATTCGGCTATTCACTCAATCAAACTTTTTCTGTTTCGGTTAACTTGTATATTAAGCTTGTAAATGATTGATTTGGAAAACACATATGAAAAAAGAGAGCTATTGTGGAATGTTTTAGAAAAGAAAAGAGTTTTATTTTTTTTTACGTTTGATAAATCAAGGATATGTATGTTTAATTATGTGCTAAAATTTTCAAACTTTGTGACTTTTTAGATATATTGAGTCATGTGTTGATTAAGTGTTGTGATTCTAAGTGAAAATCAAGTGTGTATTTATAGAGATTTAAAATTTAAAACTAAATAATTGTTGCATCTTATCATATATCTCAATTTTCCTATTTTATAGGCTAAATAGTTTACAAAATTTTAAAACGATTTGATGATGCTAAAGTTTCGATCAATCGGTTACAATAGATTGATTTTCGTTGAGCTATTTTTTAATTTTAAAATAAGGATATATCACAAGTAGAGTTAAACATAAAATAAACCTAATTTAATTAGTTAAATTTTAGTTAGATATTTTCTTTATATTTCTCAACTCTCCTTTATTATAGGCCAAATTTTTAGAACAGAAGAAAAGAGTCAATTCAACATGTTATCCAAAAAGAAACAAAATCGATCTTGAATCTCAATTTAAATTTTTCATTGTACATGTGGCATATTTTAATTATTGTTAGTTTTTGAGCACTTATTTCCTTTTAATACTTTTTCTATTAAATATTTATTTCTTTCCATTCCGTTTTTTCTTTCACTTCTCATTCCTTTAAATTTTATCAAACTCCTAAATAAAAATATAGTCTTAGTACTAATTATATCAATTTTGTTTACCCATTTTTTACTCCCATTAAGGTAAAACCCTAATCACCCTTAAAAAACGTAATCAATATCACTTTCAACACTTCCCTTCCCTCCAATTAATCAGAATTTTGTTTCTCTCACAATAATCAGACCCTATATTCCAGGTCATTGCTCTATTCATTTCTTTGAGCTTTTCAATTTTCTTTTTATGTAATGGTTCCATAGATATTTAGAGTTAATTATTTCATAAACCATGTTCATGTCCCACTCTGTTTATTGTTTCTTTCTATTTGATTTTATTCCTTGTTCGGAAATTCTCGTTCATAGGTTTAAGATTAATAATGCTAGGGTTTAATTCAAGACTTTTGTAGTTACATAATAAATATACAAATTCAATTATTTTATTATTTAATCTTGTAAATGATTGATTCGGAAAACACATATGAAAAAAGAGAGCTATTGTGGAATGTTTTAGAAAAGAAAAGAGTTTTTTTTTTTTTACGTTTGAGAAATCAAGGATATGTATGTTTAATTATGTGCTAAAATTTTCAAACTTTGAGACTTTTTAGATATATTGAGTCATGAGTGGCACTTCAAAGCAACAACCGGGTGATGGTGGCAAAAGTCCACAGTGTAGCCGGTCAGTATTACTGGAGGAAGAAGCTGATCAAATAGTTAACTCGGGTGGAGGAGAAGTTGCTCTAAAGAAAGGTATCGAAGCTGATCAAATAGTTAATACGGGTGGAGGAGAAGTTACTCTTAAGAAAGGTAGCACTTCGACGCGAAAATTTAAAGTGTCATCATTATCAAGTGGCAGTGATGTTCGTAAAAGGTCAAAGCTTAGCCAGTCAATATTACCGGACGAAGAAGCTGATCAAAGAGATAATGCGGGTGGAGGAGAAGTTTCTATAAAGAAAGGTCCATGGACAAAGGAAGAGGATGAAAATTTGAAAGATCATATTAAAAAGCATGGAGAGGGAAACTGGAAAGCAATCCAAAAGGAATCAGGACTTGCTCGCTGTGGGAAAAGCTGTCGTCTCCGATGGTCAAATCACTTGAGGCCAGGAGTGAAAAAAGGTTCGTTTATTGCCGAAGAAGAACGCCTAATCATTGAGTGCCACTTTCTGAAGGGAAACAAGTGGGCTCATATGGATACATTGGTATATCTAATAACTTAACTTTGTTTGTGTATATTATGTTAATGTTAATGTGTAGATGATATCCTGCATTGGTTTCTTGTGGAATATAATACCATTTTTCTCAAAATGAATGCATCTTCAAATGATGATTTGAATAAATCTTACTTTTGACCATAAAGTTATTGTTCCTGGATAGTATTACTTAAATATGTTTTGTTACTGAGCTTGTTATTTACATGTTCTATCTAGTATATTTGCCTTCCTTAGTCCTCTTTCTTTTCTTTTCAGTTGCCTGGACGTACAAATAACGAGATAAAGAACTTTTGGTACACAAGATCTAAGAAACGGAAACGAGAAGGCTTACCAATCTATCCTGATGAGATAACATCCAAATATTTGTTAAATGACAGTAAAGAAAGTGCTGACACATTGGAAAATGAATCCAACCAACATGATGAAACTGAAACCTTCAACTTGGATATATCTGACTTGGACCTTAAATATTACAAATTCCGCCCAGATATGATGCCACCACTTTTTGATTCTCAAGATTACAAACCAATTAGCCACTTGGTTAGATAGTGCTCAAATTCGTCTCATAATACCTTATACATGCCTAGTGCAGTAGTTCAGCAAAGATATTTGTTTAGTAGCAGGAGTGCTGTTGTCTCGGAAGTATTTGATCAGTATGGACAATACCCTATGTTGTCTACTCCATGTGATCCGATTCTTAACACCAATCTTCTTCATGGATATGATAACCCTATAACTAGTTTTAATGCCGCGTCAAATATCTCTTCTTCTGACCCCATATATGGGTCCATGAATTTTGAGCCCCCTTCATTCCAAAATTCACCGACTCAACAGCCTACCTGGAGCGACATGTATGTGCCGCCAGTTCCCTCATTTGATCATGTTGACACGCCAGTTCAGGCTCCTCCAATTGAGTCTTGTCCGCCAATTCCCTCATTTGAGTATGTTAACACGCCAGTTCAGGCTCCTCCAATTGAGTCTTGTCCGCCAGTTCCAGATTCTCCGGATTGGGGTTAAAATTTGTCTCCCAATGAAGCACACATTAGTACACAATGGAATGGACTAGATTATGATCACGATGCTATAGTTACTAACCAATTAAACTTCTTAAGACAGGTCCGCTTAGAAATTAAAAACACTCGGCGTTATTATATTAACCGTGGTGCATTCAATGATCAGCTTCCAGCTTATTATACTTCCAACAAAAAGATAATTTGAATCAGAAAGATTTGGCGCTATGATTGATCCTAAATGATGATCAGTGTGTTGTTGTAACTTGTATATTCGGCTATTCACTCAATCAAACTTTTTCTGTTCCGGTTAACTTATATATTACGCTTGTAAATGATTGATTCGGAAAAAACATATGAAAAAAGAGAGCTATTGTGGAATGTTTTAGAAAAGAAAAGAGTTTTTTATTTTTATTTTTACGTTTGAGAAATCAAGGATATGTATGTTTAATTATGTGCTAAAATTTTCAAACTTTGTGACTTTTTAGATATATTGAGTCATGATTTGATTAAGTGTTGTGATTCTATGTGTAAATCAAGTGTGTATTTATAGAGATTTAAAATTTAAAACTAAATAATTGTTGCATCTTATCATATATCTCAATTTTCCTATTTTATAGGCTAAATAGTTTACAAAATTTTAAAACGATTTGATGATGCTAAAGTTTCGATCAATCGGTTACAATAGATTGATTTTCGTTGAGCGATTTTTTAATTTTAAAATAAGGATATATCACAAGTAAAGTTAAACATAAAATAAACCTAATTTAATTACTTAAATTTTAGTTAGATATTTTCTTTATATTTCTCAACTCTCCTTTATTATAGGCCAAATTTTTAGAACAGAAGAAAAGAGTCAATTCAACATGTTATCCAAAAAAGAAACAAAATCGATCTTCAATCTCAATTTAAAATTTTCATTGTACATGTGGCATATTTTAATTACTGTTAGTTTTTGAGCACTTATTTCTTTTTAATACTTTTTCTATTAAATATTTATTTCTTTCCTATCCGTTTTTTCTTTCACTTCTCATTCCTTTAAATTTTATCAAACTCCTAAATAAAAATATAGTCATAGTACTAATTATATCAATTTTTTTTACCCATCTAGTTTACTCCCATTAAGATAAAACCCTAATCACCCTTAAAAAATGTAATCAGTATCACTTTCAACACTTCCCTTCCCTCCAATTAATCATAATTTTGTTTCTCCCACAACAATCAGAGTCTATATTCCAGGTCATTGCTCTATTCACTTCTTTGAGCTTTTCAATTTTCTTTTCATGTAATGGTTCCATAGATATTTAGAGTTAATTATTTCATAAACCATGTTCATGTCCCACTGTGTTTATTGTTTCTTTCTATTTGATTTTATTCCTTGTTCGAAAATTCTCTTTCATAGTTTTAAGATTAATAATGCTAGGATTTAATTCAAGACTTTTGTAGTTACATAATAAATATACAAATTCAATTATTTTATTATTTAAGCTTGTAAATGATTGATTCGGAAAACACATATGAAAAAAGAGAGCTATTGTGGAATGTTTTAGAAAAGAAAAGATTATTTTTTTTTTACGTTTGAGAAATCAAGGATATGTATGTTTAATTATGTGCTAAAATTTTCAAACTTTGTGACTTTTTAGATATATTGAGTCATGAGTGGCACTTCAAAGCAACAATCGGGTGATGGTGGCAAAAGTCCACAGTGTAGCCGGTCAGTATTACCGGAGGAAGAAGCTGATCAAATAGTTAACTCGGGTGGAGGAGAAGTTGCTCTAAAGAAAGGTATCGAAGCTGATCAAGCAGTTAATGCGGGTGGAGGAGAAGTTGCTCTTAAGAAAGGTTGCATTTCGACGCGAAAACGTAAAGTGTCATCATTATCAAGTGGCAATGATGTTGGTAAAAGGTCAAAGCTTAGCCGGTCAATATTACCGGAGGAAGAAGTTGATCAAAGAGATAATGAGGGTGGAGGAGAAGTTGCTCTAAAGAAAGGTTTGTGGACAAAGGAAGAGGATGAAATTTTGAAAGATCATATTAAAAAGCATGGAGAGGGAAACTGGAAAGCAGTCCAAAAGGAATCAGGACTTGCTCGCTGTGGGAAAAGCTGTCGTCTCCGATGGTCAAATCACTTGAAGCCAGGAGTGAAAAAAGGTTCATTTACTGCCAAAGAAGTACGCCTAATCATTGAGTGGCACTTTCTGAAGGGAAACAAGTGGGCTCATATGGCTACATTTGTATATCTAATAACTTAACTTTATTTGTGTATATTATGTTAATGTTAATGTGTAAATGATATCCTGCATTGGTTTCTTGTTGAATATAATACCATTTTTCTCAAAATGAATGCATCTTCAAATGATGATTTGAATAAATCTTACTTTTGACCATCAAGTTATTGTTCCTGGACAGTATTACTTAAATGTGTTATGTTACTGAGCTTGTTATTTACATGTTCTGTCGAGTATATTTGCCTTGCTTAGTCATCTTTCTTTTCTTTTCAGTTTCTTGGACGTACAAATAACGAGATAAAGAACTTTTGGTACACAAGATCTAAGAAATGGAAACGAGATGGCTTACCAATCTATCCTGACGAGATAACATCCAAATATTCGTTAAATGACAGTCAAGAAAGTGCTGACACATTGGCAAATGAATCCAACCAGCATGATGAAACATAAACCTTCAACTTGGATATATCTGACTTGGACCTTAAATATTACAAATTCCGCACAGATATGATGCCACCGCTTTTTGATTCTCAAGATTACAAAGCAATTAGCGACTTGGTTAGACAGTGCTCAGATTTGTCTCATAATAGCTTATACATGCCTAGTGTAGTAGTTCAACAAAGATATTTATTGAGTAGCAGGAGTGCTGCTGTCCCGGAAGTATTTGATCAGTATGGATAATACCCTATGTTGTCTACTCCATGTGATCTGATTCTTAACACCAACCTTCTTCATGGATATGATAACCCTATAAATGGTTTTAATGTCGCATCAAATATCTCTTCTTCTGACCCCATATATTGGTCCATGAATTATGAGCCCCCTTCATTCCAAAATTCACCGACTCAACAACCTACCTGGAGCGACATGTATGTGCCGCCACTTCCCTCATTTGAGTATGTTGACACGCCAGTTCAGGCTCCTCCAATTGAGTCTTGTCCGCCAGTTACCTCATTTGAGTATGTTGACACGCCAGTTCAGGCTCCTCCAATTGAGTCTTGTCTGTATTGTCCGCCAGTTCCAGATTCTCCGGATTGGGGTCAAAATTTGTCTCCCAATGAAGCACACATTAGTACACAATGGAATGGACTAGATTATGATCATGATGTTATAGTTTCTAACCAATTAAACTTCTTAAGACAGGTCCGCTCAGAAATTAAAAACTCTCGGCGTTATTATATTAACCGTGGTGCATTCAATTATCAGCTTCCAGCTTATTATACTTCCAACAAAAAGATAATTTGAATCAGAAAGATTTGGCGTTGTGATTGATCCTAAATGATGATCAGTGTGTTGTTGTAACTTGTATATTCGACTATTCACTCAATCAAACTTTTTCTGTTCCGGTTAACTTGTATATTAAGCTTGTAAATGATTGATTCGGAAAACACATATGAAAAAAGAGAGCTATTGTGGAATGTTTTAGAAAAGAAAAGAGTTTTTTTTTTACGTTTGATAAATCAAGGATATGTATTTTTAATTATGTGCAAAAATTTTCAAACTCTGTGACTTTTTAGATATATTGAGTCATGTGTTGATTAAGTGTTGCGGTTCTAAGTGTAAATCAAGTGTGTATTTATAGAGATTTAAAATTTAAAACTAAATAATTGTTGCATCGTATCATATATCTCAATTTTCCTATTTTATAGGCTAAATAGTTTACAAAATTTTAAAACGATTTGATGATGCTTGTCGCTACTCGAAAAATGCATCGTGCAACGACGGGGAGGCAAAAAGGAATGACATAAGAGTCACCACCGAACCTTATTTATCCCATGAGGGGAAAGGAAAATATCGAGAAAACCTTAAGAAAGAAACTGATAAGATGGTCTCGCGACCAAGAACGGGTTCGAAAGCCGGTTATGCGAGGGGAAGGTATCAGCACCCCTCGCATCCATCGTACTCGATGGAAACCATTTTTTTGTCGACGTGTGAATTTATTTGCTTAAACATTATGCTATAAAAGAGTGTTCCAAAGAGGGAGAGAAAAAGGATTGAAATAGTAAAGTGAGAGGTTAGGAGGAAAGAGAGAACGGGGAAGAAAAGAGAAAGAACAGACTCGATAGGACTTCGCGGTCCTAGGCCTACGTATTCTCAACGAATGTGAGAAAATCAGAGTCGACGTAGTTCGGGGCTACGGATATAGGGGAATGTGCTCGACAAGGATTGTGGCCCTTGTGCCTACGTATCTTTACTTGAAGAAGTAAAGAATCAGAGCAGCCATAGTTCGGCCTACGGTTTGCGGGTGAACGGGGTGTTTTGGTAGACGATGCTATCGTGTGCATTCTAGCAGTTTAGGTGTATTGCTGCT